ACACACTAGTGCTCCCAAGTTCAAGGTCTGTGTGAGGCCAGTCACTCAGTACAATGGGCTGTGAAAGCATTTTTCTACTTGTAGAGGAGTTTTGCTTCTAGTCCCAGCATGTGATCTCCCTGAAATGCCTGTAAGTTCAACTTAAGGTCATACTCACTATCATTTCCATGCTACTTTACATCAGAAGTGGGTCTTCAAAATTATATTCCTCGGGGTATTAAATATCAGGATAATCCAGGAAAAATACAGATGTGTATGAGGCAAGCGGTTTCTGTGGTGAATGGTCATGAGGGAAATGTGTTGTTTTTCTGGGGCTTTGTTTAATAAAAGTGTTTAAGAGTTTTTAGGGCCTGTTGTGGACGGGGTCCGTGGAAATACTGTAGCTCTGACTCTTCTTCCCTGGACACAGTGAGCCCGGGGCCTGGCCTGTGACTCCTGAGTTTAATTCAAGGGCTGTTGGGGCACAGTTGTTCTTGGAGCTCACCCTGCCTAAGCACGTTGCAGGTTTCTCTTCCCTGAGACTCTCAGATGGTAGGGAACCAAGTTCCATCCTCCTAGGCCTGTCTCCTTCTGTCCTGCCACCCCCTCTCCATCATGCACACGCTGGTCCCTTGGAGTGGTGCTATTGATTCTGCACTAGGAGCCAGGAGCCATAGCACTAAATGACAGGTCATGAAGGGAACTATAGGTCTGCACGATGCTTCAGAAAGGAGCCAGGAACCCCTGAGAACGGCCTAGTGGAAGCCACACCCAGGGCCCGTGTCTTCTGGTGTGCATTTGTATCCATAGGGACAAGTGTCTGAAAGAGGATTGTGGCACTAGAGGACATGGTTGATATTTGAACCAAAGACATGGAGGGCTAACAAAGAAAGGAAAGAGAGCTGGTTTTTTTAAATTGTATTTTTCATTTTAGAACTAGAAGAAAGTATTACTAATTATAATAACCATTTTACATGAACTTATTTTTATGCTGCAAAATAATATCATTAAATATGTATTAGGTTAACTTGTTTTATTTAATTATGCGTATAAACTCTTCAAGTATGCTTAAGCTTTATAATTCGTTGCTCATATAACATAATCACAGGAAACCCATGTTTATTCCTTTCGTTTTCACTGACGAGGAAATTCATACGTAATACATATGCTTACAGTTCTGAAAAACCTGGCATATGGCGCACTCCCTAGCCCTTCAGAGCCTTGTCACAGCTGTCCCAAGCTCTCCTGTCCATGGAGCCTGATGCAACAGGAAGGGCAGTGGCTCAGGCAGGAGCACAGCTCCTTTGCGTAAGAGTACAACTCTCTTAAGTTTTCCTAAAATTATTTTGTATTGCTTTGAGCTAAAATTTTAGTTCAATTAAAAAGCCAATAAGAAGTGTTGGAGAAAGGAAAAACTTTTAATCATCATAGAAAACTAGGTTTCTACCCAATTGATAAATCAGTGATATCAGATTATGACTTTAAATTCCCATTGATCTATTGGACAATTGGCATATTATCCACATGCCTGCTCACTTTGGCTGACAAGTATGGGTCCACGTTGCCAAGTTAAACATGGAGAGAAAAGCTGGCTCTTGGACAGCCTGCCAGCAGTGTTCATTTAAAACAGCTTTTAAGCAAGGACAACTATGATTGGAACTTATCTCAAGCAAACAAAATTCTCTAACCAGTCCCGAGAGATTGAAGAATGCAGAGGTGAGCTTGCTGTGGGGGTTGGAGAGTGTCACAAGGTCATCAGCCTACCTTCTGCCAACAGAAGATGGTTCCACAGAGTCTGCATGAAGCCTCCTGAAGTATGCTGGGGCCCGGGGACTGGTCCTGGCTCAGCCTTGCTCCCTCCCTCCCATGGCATTCCCTTATCTTTATGGCTGTGTCCAGTGATCTCACTGCCTATCTACTGATGAAAATGTAGGGTTAAAAGGCATGAGCTCCTCCGCCTTCCCTTGGCATGTGAACATATCTTTCTATTTTATCTACTCCTCTGTCCCTTCTCATCTCCAAGACTGTTCCCTATTTCTGGGCCCTCAGCCTTGTTCATTCTTGTTTTCCCAGGGCCTTATTCTCTTAGTTATCAGTTCTTTCTCTATAATTTGTTCTCTCTGTATGGCTCCTTCTACATTGCCTTCAGGCAGGCACATATTTCTTTTGTCCAGAAAACCTCCCTTGCTATCTCCCTAAATGACCTCTCCTCATTCCTTTCACCACCAAACTTATGTAAGTACAACTTTTATTGTTATATTACACTAGAGGCTCAATGCATGAAATTCGTGCAAGAGTAGGCCTTCCTTCCCCCAGCTGCCGGCTCCAGCTTCCCTCGCAGCCCCGGCTTCATCTGGAAGGTCTCCGAAGGGACGTCCAGAAGGATGTCTGGTCTAATTAGCATATTATGCTTTTATTATAGACTAGAGGCCTGGTGCACAAAAATTTGTGCACTCGGGGCGGGGGGGGGGGTCCCTCAGCCCGGCCTGCACCCATTTGCAGTCCAGGACCCCTTGGGGGATGTCCACCTGTCGACTTAGGCCCACTCCCCAGGGGATCAGGCCTAAGCTTGCAGTCAGACATCCTTCTGGAAGCCAGGGAGCCCTTGGGGGATGTCCGACTAAAGGCTTAGGCCCCTAAGGGAGCTGTGATGAGGAAGCTGGGGTGACAGAGGAGCCATGCTGTCCCGCCCCGCCACCCTGGGTCGGGTGGCACATGGGACACCCGGACGGCGGCCAGGCGGGCTGGCAGATCGCTGCTGCACCATCCGGCCGCCCCGGGTCAGGTCACACACGGGACGCCCGCCGCCCCAGGTTGCAGATAGCAGGCCCAGATGGCGGCAGGGCAGGCAGGATGGCGCTGTCCCACCCCACCACCCTGGGTGGCAAATAGCAGGCCTGGATGGCAGTGGGGCAGGCGGGATGGTGCTGACCCACCCTGCCTGTGGTATGCAAATTAGCTGCCATCTTTGTTGGTGGTTAATTTGCATATCGTGCTGATTAGCTTATGGGAGGCGTAGCGAAGGTACGGTCAATTACCGTGTTTGTCTATTATTAGATAGGATACTAATTCACCACACGTGCCTGGAAAGCAAGAACCATAACTCACGTTCATTTCTGTCAAGTGCCTTGCATGGTGTAAGGTAGTTAATGGGGCACAGATTTTGGAGCCAAACAAGCCAGAGTTCAAATTTGGGCTCACTGGTTCCTGCTGAATGATGTTGGATAAACTGCTTAATCTTGTTCATCCTCAGTCTCTATTCAGAGGAACTGAATAGACATTTTTCCAGAGAAGACATACAAATGGTCACTAGATACATGAAAAAGTTCTCAACGTCACTAGTCATAAGGAAAATGCAAATCAAAACCACAATGAAATATCGCCCCATACCTGTTAGGACAGCTATTATCAAAATGACAAGAGGTAAAAATTGTTGGTGAGGATGCAGAGAAAAGGGAACCCGTATTTGCTGTTAGTGGGAATGTAAATTGGTACAGCCACTATGGAAACAGTATGGAGGTTTCTCAAAATAACTGAAAATAAAACTACCATATGACACAGCAGTCCCACTTCTGAGTATATATTTGAGGGAATGCCATCACAATCTCAAAGAGATATCAGCATTCCCCTGTTCACTGCGGCATTTTTCACAATAGCCAAAACATGGAGACAACGTGTGCCCATCAATGGGTGAATGGATAAAGAAATACTATTCAGCCATGAGGAAATCAGGAAATTTTTCCATATGCAAAAACTTGAGTGCATTATGCTAAATGAAATAAGTCATAGAAAGATGAATACTATATGAATTCACTTGGATGTGGAATCTGAAAAGGCCAAACTCATAGAAACAGGGCAGAATGGTAGTTGCCAGGGTCTGGGGGGTGAGGGGCATGAGGAGATGTGGGTCAAGGGGTAAACACTTAAAATTATAAGAAGTTCTGAGGCCAAAACCGGTTTGGCTCAGTGGATGGAGCGTCGGCCTGCGGACTGAGAGGTCCCGGGTTCGATTCCGGTCAAGGGCATGTGCCTGGGTTGCAGGCACATCCCCAGTGGGAGATGTGCAGGAGGCAGCTGATCGATGTTTCTCTCTCATCGATGTTTCTAACTCTCTATCTCTCTCCCTTTCTCTCTGTAAAAAATCAATAAAAAATATATTAAAAAAAAAAAAAGTTCTGAGAACCCAATGCACAGCATGGTTGGTGACTATCCTATATAATAAAAGCCTAATATGCTAAGTGTCCAGTCGGCTGGTTGGTCGTTCAACCAATCAAAGTGTAATATGCTAATGATATGCTAAGGCTGCTCAACCGCTCCCTGTGACATGCACTGACCACTAGGGGGCAGATAGTCAACCAGTTGACCAGTCGCTATGATGTGCACTGACCACCAAGGGGCAGGCGCTCTGACTGGTAGGTTAGCTTGCTGCTGGGGTCTGGCCGGTCGGGATTGAGCAAGATGGACCAGACACACCCTGGAACCCTCCCGCAGTCCCTCCCCAGCTGGCCAACCTCCCGCGCCCCTCCCCAGCCCCAATGGACCTGGCCTGCGCCCTCTCAAAATCCAGGTCCCCTAGAGGGATGTTGGAGAGCTGGTTTTGGCCCGAACCCGCAGGCCAGGCCGAGGTAATAATACTTGAAAGTTGCTAACTATAACCCTACTGTGGTAATCATTTCACAGGAGACATGCATATCAAATTATCACGTGTACACCTTAAACTTACACAGTGTTGTATGTCTCAAAGTCAGAAAAACATTGCTGATCCTGCAGTGTTGTTATGCAGATTAAGTGAGATTACATTAGCAGTGTGGAGAGTAAATGACATTGTTATAACAAGACCTCGCAAGGCATCTGGCACATGCAGGTACGGAAAGGCTGGTTCCCTCCCACCCTCACTCATGGCGGGGTTACAGTTAAGTGGCGACATGGTGTCCTGCACATCTCGGTCAGCGCTCAGAGGCACGGCCTCCACGTTTTGTCTGGTTTGATTCTTACTCTTTTCTTTGCCTTGTGTGTTTCAGGTTCACAACCAGTATCCAACCGAGTTTGAATTCAACCTCTATTACTTAAAGTTCTTGGCTTTCCACTACGTATCTAATCGCTTTAAAACATTTCTCCTGGATTCAGACTATGAAAGATTAGAGCACGGTATGTGTTTGCATGCTCTTGTTTTATCTTTTTTGTTACTTGTGTGTTTATTATTAAAACCTCTACTAACATAACTGCCTCAAGTATGGCAAGGCCATTGTGGGGTTTCGGCCTGAACTAGGGGAGCAGAGTGGATGTGAACATGGGCCCAGATTCTGAGATGATGTGTGTGTTAGTCCTGAGGCCCTGCAAGTGGTCATCCCTGAAGCACCTCTGAAAAGTGAAATCTGCTTACTACTTTAGTATCTCAAAGTGGCATCCCTGTTTGAGGAGAAACATTTGACTGTTTTTCCACTCCTGGCACACTCTGGTAGGAAAGGCACTGCCCTTGGAGGCATTTGAGTAGCAGTAAATGCTGTGGGCTCGCCCTAGCTGGTCTGGCTTAGTGGATAGAGCAGCCGTGGGCAAACTACGGCCCGCGGGCCGGATTCGGCCCGTTTGAAATGAATAAAACTAAAAAAACAAAAACAAAAAAAAAACCGTACCCTTTTATGTAATGATGTTTACTTTGAATTTATATTAGTTCACACAAACACTCCATCCATGCTTTTGTTCCGGCCCTCCGGTCCAGTTTAAGAACCCATTGTGGCCCTCGAGTCAAAAAGTTTGCCCACCGCTGGGATAGAGCATCGGCCTATGGACTGAAGGGTCCCGGGTTCGATTCTGGTCAAAGGCACATGCTTGGGTTGCAGGGTGGATCCCCAGTGGGGAGCAGGAGGCAGCCAATCAATGATTCTCTCTCATCATTGATGTTTCTATCTCTCTCTCCCTCTCCCTTCCTCTCTGAAATCAATAAAGAAATATTTTTTTAAAAAAAAATGCCATGGGCTCTGGCAGAAACAGACCTGGGTTACATTCCAGCACCAACTGAGTTCTTTGGACGAGTTAAGCACTTCTCTGAGTTTCTTCCGTTTCCTCATCAAAATGGCCCTTTGAGCCATGGTGAGCACAGTAGGAAATATTTGTAAATTTCTTAGCACAATTGCTAGCACATAGTAAGCACTCAATAAATTTTAGACATACCATCATTATTTGTTATAATTTTTCACAGCATTACAAGTTGTAAGGAGTAAATGCTGAAACTCAGTCAGCTCCTGTGAAAACATTTTCCAAGGGGATTTTACATTCTTTTGTTGTTGTAGGGAGAGGGAAGGGGAGGATACACATGACTGAGAAGACAGGCAAATTTTTAAAAATCAGCAATTTTCAGAATATTATGTGTACCTATATATCCATAACAAGGACTCTTTTAGTGACTGAAAATATTTACTGATGTTCTCAATTTAAAGTATAAAACAGGAAACATTGCTTTCCAATGCATGCTATTAAAATCGTCTAATAACCCTGGCCGATGTGGCTCAGTTGGTTGGAGCGTCATCCCGTACACCAGTAAGGGCACATAACCAGGTTGGGGTGCATATGGGAGGCAACTGATTGATGTTTCTCTCTCACATTGCTGTTTCTCTCTCTCCTTCCCCCTTCTTCTCTGTCTAAAATCAATAAAAAGATATCCTTGAGTAAGGATTAGGAAAATTGTCTAGTAAGATACTTCATACTTTTGGTAAGGGAGACAGCACTGGTGAGACCATTCCCACCTGTTAGTACTTCCAGACCTTTGTTGACTTATAGAATTGCCATCCCACACATCTTAATCAGAAACCTTAATTTCTTAAGCACCCATGTGTTGAGAAGGCATTAAACAGAGCTGGTTACATTGGACGCTGGAATTACTTGGAGAACTTTTAAAACAACTAATCTCTGGGGCCCGTCCTCAGAGATTAAAGCCCTTGGTGTTATTAACATGTGGCCAACGTTGAGAACTACTGTACTGGGCTCTGCAGTTCAAAGATAGAGAAGAAAACATTAATTAGTCTTAGGGGGCCTTCATGGGATTTTGTGCAGCCTTCGACTTAAGACATTCTTTTATGATAAACTGGTAAAATGCTTATTGATTTTTGACTGAGTCATTCAATTCAAAGCAAGAGAGGCACCCATCCTGGCCTTTAAAAAAAAATACCTCCTGCCTCACCCCAACACATATTCCTCTCAATTAAAAACAAAGTGGGGCCCAGCTTGCGTGGCTCATTGGTTGAGTATCGACCTATGAACCAGAAGATCACAGTTCGATTCTTGGTCAGGGCACATGCCTGGGTTGTGGGCTCAATCCCCAGTAAGGGGCATGCAGGAGGCAGCCAATCAGTGATTCTCTTTCATCATTGATGTTTCTGTCTCTCCTTTCCCTTCCTCTCTGAAATCAATAAAAAATATATTTTTTTAAAAATAGAAAATAAAAATAAAACGAAGTGGGGTCATGTAAGAGACTGACTTTTGAAAGGTACAAAAATAATGTCAGAAAACCCCTGAAAGGCCCCCCCTAAGTTCAGCTTTTGTTTTTAAGTCACCCAGAGTCCAGACCACACCCTCTGTCATCCAGGTCTCCATGACCATGATTTGCGGTGTATATAAACTACTAAACAAGAAAACACTTGAAATGGCTTCATAATAGACATCCAATGACTTAAAAAAGAAACATAAAATTATTTTAACTGAGTTCATCAGATCAACTCTAAGTCCTTCCATTTTTCTGCAAGAATGTGTAGCATGTTTCCTGGCTCGCCTCCGGGGCCTCGGTGTAGGTGAGGAATGTAGAATGCAGATGCAGAATGTAGATTGGAAGAGAGCCATGATGTCCTGGAAATGCTGGAAGCCTTGTCAGCTGCTTCCCTTCCATTTGGATCCGTGTCCCTGTGACTGTGAAGTTCATTCCTATCTTTAGCTTTGCAGTTATTTCCTAAGGTTTCTGCACATACATTGTTGTCTGTGGAGCCATAAGAAATATTCCAGTTTTCGTCGGCTACACACATCATGCTTTTAGGCAAACTGCTGATTTGAGTTTTGTTGAATGTCTTTGGACTTACAGGAACTTTATTTGATGATAAAGGAGATAAGCACGCCAAAAAAGGACTTTGTATTTGGGAGTGTGTTGACAGAATGCACAAGAGGAGTCCCATTTTCTTTAATTATTTATATTCACCAGTGGAAATTGAGGTAAAAAGCATTCATGTTTCATTTTCTGAATATTTTATGTCAAAGTTTTCCTTACTTTGAGTGTACACCGCTGTTTAGGCTTTTTATAAATGTCTGATTAGGTGTCGGACCAGAAGCTATTCAAAAGTTTGATAGACTATGGGTTGGGGTTATGATGGTATGGAGACTGTTCTCCAAATTCTTGACCACAAAAAATTGGGATCTGGCCCCCAAAACCTGGAAGGGATAACTTCAGGAACATCAAAGCAAGTCAGCTTTCCCCAGGAAGAAAGAAACCTCAACAGGTCATCTAAACTGAAAAATCTAAAATACTTGGGGAAGAGTTCTCTAAGTCCATCTGTGCCAAAATCGTGGGGAACCCCGTGGGAAGCAGGGGTGTTTGGAGCCGGTCCAGGAAGGCTGATTCCCGGGGCAGCCACGCTCTGCCATGCACACCTCTGTGAACGAGGCTCTGAGGTGGGACAGGCTGGTTTGATGAGCAGTAGCACCTCACTGAGGGGCACGGAGGCCCCTGCCCTGGCCCCGTGCGTTAGGACCCCAGCTGGCCTTTCTCCAGTGCCCCTTCCTCATGGGGTGAGGGATATGAGAAACCAAGAGTACATGCTTAGATGCCCCTCCTTCATCTAAACCACCCTCTGGTGCCTCAAAATTTCTGACCCAAATTCCAGTTACTCACCAGCCCACTTCTCCGAGTCTGTCTCCCAAACCAGTGCATGTCGCCCTCGGCCCAAAGGGCAGCTACGACAGTGTTTTGGCAGGAAGTGGACAGATTTTAGCTGCTGGGCTGGGGTATACACACACGTTCATATAAGGCCCTCAGACTATAGGAGAGAGATGGGTTGGAGGAGCAGGGGGTCAGGCCGAGGACTGGGGTGGGACCAGCTCCTCAGGGCCACACTTTCCGGTGTAGAATTCCAGGAGCCCCAGATTTGGGCCTGGCCTTCCAGGTCATTACGGAGTTATCTTTGTCAGAGTAGGAGGATAGAATATATTTTATGTAACCATTTATTTTGATGTGTCCATTTAAACACTTAGATATGTGACATTTGAACCTCTATTCATACTCTTGCCCGAGACCCTGCAAATTCTAGGGGCTGGCCTGCAAGTAAGCTTGGGGTCAAGATGAAACTACATTTCACAATTTTCTTTAAACAGGCCCTGAAGCCCAACGTGAATGTCTCCAGCCTCAAGAAGTGGGATTACTACATCGAGGAGACCCTCTCCACGGGGCCGTCGTATGACTGGATGATGCTGACCCCCAAGCAGTTCCCCCCTGAGGACTGTGACCTGGCCGGGGGTGCTGGGCCGCAGAGCCAGAGGAGGACAGTGTGGCCGTGCTATGACGACATCAGCTGCACGCAGCCCGACGCTCTGACCAGCCTCTTCAGTGTAAGTCAGCAGTGTGTAGAGTGTAGTCACACACCTGGGGCTCCGCGGAGTCAGGGAGGCCTGGGGAACCCGGCTGGTTAAGATGGACTGGCTCACAGACTTCTGGGAGCAGCTCTCCCCACTCTGGTCGAGGTAGCTCCAGGGGGAGGAGGAACCAGACTTGCTCCCCAGCAGCAGTGGGGGACCAGGCTGAGTTTTCCAGTATTTCGAGGAAGCGGTCAAGCAAATGCAACAATTTGCAGCTTCCCAGCTGTTTTAGCTGCCCAGGCAGCCTGAGTCAGGCCTGGGTTATGGCTTCTGTGGGTGCTCCGCTTCCTCTGGTCACCAGTGTGGGCAGCTGATGGCCTGGTGGGAGTACTGCCAGTGTCTTCCACTAGGAATATTCTGGAGAGAAACCATCCTGGCAGTAGCCACGCTGGTGAGAGCAGCAGCCCCGAGGAGAGAGGGGGGCCAGGCAGCTGCTGAAGAGTCTCGGTCGGTCCCGACCAGGAGCGTGCCTGGGGAGAGCGCTGGAGCGGCTCTGTGCTGACCGCCAGCTCCCCCGGCCGCAGGAAACTGCTCCTGAGGAATTTCTTGACTTGTTCTTTCCACATCTGGTTTCAATCATCAGAGTTGAGGGGTTCCTCTGTCAAGGACAGACTTCCCATCTACCTCAGCTATTAGGGTTTGGACACTGGCCCAGTGCTTGACCTTTTGCTGTGGCCATCAGATTTCCAGTGGGCTGGCCAGGGTGTTTGGGATACATATTTCTCTCCGTATTGAAGCAGTTCTGTATAAACCGTCCTGGTTACATATCCTCATAAATCACCCTTGCCTCGTGCCTCCCATCAGCTGGAGCTCCACGCTGTTCCTGGCTCGGGAGGCCGGGCCGTGTTTACCACTCCCGTTAGCTGCCCGTGCCCCCCCCCCCCCCCCCCGCCCCCGCTCATCTGCGCCAGTGCAGAGACGTGGCTTCGATGAAATACTGATCTGTCCGAAAACCCCTTTAATTACTTTGCAGGAAATTGAAAGATTGGAGCACAAATTGAACCAAACCCCCGAGAAGTGGCAGCAGCTGTGGGAAAGGGTAGCCGTGGACCTCAAAGAAGAGCCCAGAGCAGACCGCGTGAGTTGGCACAGCCCCCTGAGGAGCTACTGCTGAGCTTTGCGAGGGTGCTGGTCAGGTGGGGCCACTGCCAGGTGACCCAGGGGGGCTGATAGCCAAAGGATGGGGCAAAGGGAGGGCCGTGCCCTAGGGTTCCAGGGCAGAAAGTTCCAAATCCCCGAATACTTCCTGAGTGCCTCACCTCACCACAGTGACATAACACTGATGTTTCAGGGCCTCATCCACGGGAAATTACTGGTTCTCTTCTATCTCAGAGCCTCTGTGGTTTCAGCTGATCTTCTACCACATGAGGGAGTAGGGGATGCCAAGACCAGGTTTGCTCCAGAGGAATAATAGGGAAAATAAAGTATTTTAAAAAGACAAAAGATGCTGTTTTCTGTTGTTCACACACACACACACACACACACACACACACACACACACACACACACACGTTTTCTGTTTCTGAATTAAGAAACATTTATCAAAATACTTTAAAACCAAATACTTCGTTTTCTGCTTCTCATGCCCCATTTCCTGTTTCTGACGTAAGAAACTTTTATCAAGCACGTAACATGGGCAAGGGCCTGTGCTGGGCACCATGCACACAGTGAGGGCCTGTGCTGGGCACCATGCACACAGTGAGGGCGTGGGTCCACCTCAGACATGAGGACAGGCACAGGGATCGCACAGCTGCTACTTGGTGCGGCCACCAGGCAAACCCACGTCAGATTGGCTGCGGGGCAATACCCGGGAAGCTGGGACAGTGTTCTGGAGAGCACCTTGGGGAGCAGGGACGTCAGCAGGTCAGAAGTCACAGTGGGTCAAGGAGAGAGGAGGGCAGAAGAAAGCCGGAGTGACGTGGAAGGGTCCTTGGGCACTGACTCTTGCCTTCAAATGGCAGGTCAGGAGCTGTTCTCAGGCCACAGGTGGGTGATGCCTAACTTCTTTTCTCAGGAAAAATACAGTTTTTTGTCTTTTTCTTTCTGATTATGGAAGTGTGATATATTTATTCTTTTAAATAAGACAATACACAGAAAGTTATAAAATAGAAGATAAAAATCATCCATAGTTTATAACCTAGAACTAAACAACAATGCTGTCAAACTTGTTTTATTCTAAGTGCACATGTAGAAGGGATTTATTACACATACTACTTTAAAGCCTGCTTTCTTGATTTTACGTAACATGTGGCACACATGTCCTCCCATTTGTCACTGTATAATGAACCAGAGGCATCGATTTTAATGGCTGTCTAGAATTCCACTGTACGGAAATGTGTTTTTTAACCAGTCCCCTAATGATAAGCATTCAGCTTGTTTCCAGTCTTTTATTATTATAAACAACTCCAGGATAAACATCTTTTTATGCACATTTTGCTTACTGGTTCCGTTTTTTCCCTTGAGATAAATTTTTAGGAAGGAAATTACCGGATGAGCAGCTTAAAGTCTGCTAAAGCTTTCCTCCTCCTGTTCTTCCTGTTTCAGCCACAGAGACACCCTCCAGGCTCCCCAGGGATGGTGTCCACCAACCTCCCTCCCTATCAGAAGAGGTCCCTGCTGCACCTCCCGGACAGCGTGGCAGAGGAGCAGAGCGCCAGCATCTCCCCGTCCAATGGCGTGGACCGCAGAGCCGCCACGCTGTACAGCCAGTACACGTCCAAGAACGACGAGAACAGGTGACGCGACGGGCGGGCTCCGGGGCTCTCCCCACCTGCCCCTGCCACGCCGGGCTTTTTAACAGCCTGGGCCAGTCAGCACGGCCTTCTGTAGACTGATTTTGCTTTGAGTCTTACTTTGTTTCTGTTTTCAATGTGTTAGATGGTTCTTTGAAGAGGAAAGATCAAAATTACAACTAGAATATGCCAAGAGCTAGTAGTTATCTGGTTGAGTCCTGATTCTTGTTCCCTCCTGTCTGCCAGATCTCCTAAGGGATTCTGTGGTAGTCAGCACTTCTTCAGGGGCAGACAGAAACCCAGTTCCTGCTAGCTTACGCAGACAGGAATTGACTCGCGTAAACTGGGAGGCTTCTGTCCCCTGGCCAGCTCTGCTGGCTCCGGGGATGCGTTAGTCCCAGCATGGCACCCAAGGTGGCCACCGAGAGCGCCAAGCCCCACCAGTGTGGTAATTCCAGCAGAAAGTGGCAGTCTTCCCCAAAGGTCCGATAGAAACATTCTAGGGAGAACTCTGGTTTGTTTGTTTTTTCTTTTTTAGGGATCAATTGAGAGAAATAGAAATTTAACAAACAAAATCTGCAGACATCCCTTTACAAAATTTTTTAATGAAAAATCAAAATGAACTGCCCTGTTGTCATTTCTTCTAGGTCCTTTGAAGGAACACTTTACAAAAGAGGGGCTTTGCTGAAAGGTTGGAAGCCCCGCTGGTTCGTGCTGGATGTAACAAAACACCAGGTAATGCTCACAGCCTACAGAAATCGCTCTCGGCTGCCTAGCTGCTGTGCGCCTGTGTGCAGATGGGGCATCCCTCGTGTACAGTGCTCTCCTGACATCAGCGTGTTCCTGAGCGAGGGCAGGGGCCTTCCGAGGCAAGCTCCCGAGTGGCTCTGCCTGGCGTATGCTGGCGGAGACAGTGACAGCTGAGCCCAGAGCATTAAGAGCAATAGACTCTGCTTTTTTTTAAATATATTTTTTTATTGATTTCAGAGAGGAAGGGAGAGGGAGGGAGAGATAGAAACATCAATGATGAGAATCATTGATTGGCTGCCCCCTACACACCCCACACTGGGGATCCAGCCCTACCCCGGGCATGTGCCCCGACCAGGAATTGAACCTGTGATCTGGTTCATAGATCGATGCTCAACCACTGAGCAACACCAGCCGGGCAAACTCTGCTTTTTAATGCTCAGATATCTTCTGCTCGTAAACCCACGCTGGGAGACCCTGAGATTGTCAGTGTGTTGCATGTTGTATGCACATATGGAGCCTGTGAGCACTCCCAGAATACACATTACCTTCGGCCGGCAGCGTAAAGCATCCACGCACAGATGAGGGCACTCATTTATTCGACAAATGGGATTGCACACCTTCCCTGTGCCCGCCATGCACAGTGTTCTAAAGAAGGCATGATTCTTCCTCATAGACAGCAGCAACAGGGGAGGGGCCCCGAAACAGGCAGGTGGACGGGCCCACGCACACCTGGAACCCACAGTGGGCAAGCGCGAGATGGACCTCACTGACCTGTCGGGAAGTCTGTTGCCTGTTGTTAGGTTCTTAGCTACTGCCATTGAAGCCCACACATCCTAGTGTCATAGCTTGGCTTCAGCAATGCCAGGGGAGGGGGACCCCTAGCCAAACCCCCGGCCCCTCTGCACCTTCACTAGTGAGAGTCGCATGGCCTCCCGTGTCCCTGGAGCTGACAGGGCTGCCTGGAGGCGAAGGGGTGCGTTTTGATTCTCAGTGCACCGTCTCTAAAATGGAGCCTGTGGAGAGCGATAAGGACTGTTACCCTCAACCTGTGCTCTGGTTGGACCCGCATCTGGAAACTCCTTCCAGGTGAAGATGTTATGCAGAGATCCCCCTCTGTTCAAAGGATTCCATAAAGGCTATGCAGTCTTTGGGGAGGAATGTAGAGAATTTCTTTCCAGATATGCAATCAAGCCTTTTTTAGACTTAACAGTCCCTGAAATCAAGTCTGCACTATGTATAAAAGTTCCATTAAATCACGAAATACACCACAGGAGAATGTCATAGCCTTTCTGTAATTTACAATTATGTCAAATTATACTTGTGTTCCTACCAATCTTTGGGATTGCTTCAGTATGAAAGGTGTACAGACTTTCCATTTCCTGCTTACACCAGGCCTGAGGGAGAGACAGGAACATCCCAGCCAGAACCTCAGTGCCCGAGGCTCCAGGCACTCCTGCTGGGAAGTGAGAGCAGGAATCTGTGGGCCAGGAAGGCTTTTCACCAGCATCTTTCATTTTAAAAAGTTTTCCTCATTTCTTTTCATATTCCAAAAGTAATACATACATGTTTGTTGTATTGAATTCAAATACCTCATAAAGATGGGAGAGCCTCCTGAGCCCACAACTCCCAGAGGTAACTATTAACAATTTGGTATCTATTTCTCTAAATATTTTATACATCTGTGTGTAGACGTAGATGTATTATACGTAGTTTGAGTTGCTAGGAAGGTTAAATGAGTGTATACAGGACAGTCCTGGTACAAATACCACTCAATCAAATGTTATGCTACTTACTCTGTTTTTCAAACTTATTTTATAGCTACATGCTAATTGGGAATTCACTTTTTTATATAATACTAGAGGCCCGGTGCATGAAATTTGTGCATGGGTAGAGTCCTCAGGCCTGGCCGACTATCGGGGCTGTTCACGGTCTTCCAGCTGCCAGCCGGGGCCTTCCTTCGTTCCACGCTGCCCCTTGGTGGTCAGTGCATGTCATAGTGGGCGGTCGAACTCCCAGTCGGTCGAACTCCCGAGGGGACCATTTGCATATTAGCCTTTTATTATATAGGACTAGAGGCCCGGTGCACAAAAATTTGTGCACTGGGGGTGTCCCCCAGCCCGGCCTGTGCCCTCTCGCAGTCTGGGACCCCTCGGGAGATAACGACCTGCTGGCTTAGGCCTGCTCCCGGGTGGCAGAGGGCAGGCCCAATCCCTAAGTGCAGCCCCTGGTCAGGCTCAGAGCAGGGCCGATTGGGGAGTTGGGGCGCCGCCCCGTCATGCACAGAGCAGGGCGGATCGGGAGGTTGCGATGCCACCCTCAGTCACGCTCAGGGTAGGGCCGATTGGGGGGTTGGGGCACCGCCCCCTGTCACACACAGAGCAGGGCGGATCAGGGTGTTGGGGCGCTGCACCCTGTCACACTCAGGGCAGGGCCAATGGGGAGGTTATGGCTCTACCCTGTCACAGAGCAGGGCCCGTGGGGGGGCGGGGGTTGGGGCGCCACACCCTGTCACACACAGAGCAGGGCCGATCAGGGGATTGGGGAGCTCCCCCCTATCAGGCACAGAGCAGGGCTGATCAGGGGGTTGGGGCGCCTTCCCCTGTCAGGAACAGAGCAGGGCGGATAGGGAGGTTGTGGCCCCGCCCCCTGTCACACACAGAGCCGCAGGGCGATCAGGGGGTTTGGGCGCTGCCCCCGTCACGCTGATCCCGGTGCCGGGAGCCTCGCTGCTCCGCTGATCCCAGTGCCGGGAGGCATATTACCCTTTTACTATATAGAATAGAGGCCTGGTGCATGGGTAGGGGCCGGCTGGTTTGCCCTGAAGGGTGTCCTGGATCAGGGTGGGGGTCCCCACTGGGGTGCCTGGCCAGTCTGGGTGAGGGGCTGAGGGCTGTTTTCCGGAAGCGGGTGACTGAAGCTCCCAACCGCTCCTTGTTTTCTTTTTTTTTTTTTTTATTCTGGACCAGCTTTAGCTCTGAGGCCTCGCTGCTGAAAACATCGATACAATGTTGCGGTCCGGCTGGCTTTCAGTCCGGCTGGTTTCTGGGGTTTTGTTTAGCTTCTTATTTGCAACATAGTACATAGTTGCTTAGACTTGCAGCTGAGAGGCCGGCAAGTTAGGCAGGGAACGTTGGAGTCTGCAGTCACTGAAGCAAGCAAGCCTCCCTGCTCGCTTTAGTGCATGTTTGCCGGCCGCCATCTTGGCTGACAGTTAATTTGCATAAGGATATGCTGATTAGCCAATGGGAAGGGTAGCGGTTGTACGCTAATTACCATGTTTCTCTTTTATTAGTGTAGATATTTGAACATATTTTCCTGCCAGTTCATACAGACCTTTGTTGTTTTTGAAAAGCTGTATGCTATTCCATATATTGCTGTCCTGCCTTGTAATTAACCAACACCCCATTGAGAGACAGATACATCTTTTCCATTTTAGCTGATAAAACAGTAAAGAAAACCTCTGTATGTGTGTCTTGGCCCAGTTGTGAGAGTGTTTCTATAGGATAAGTTGTAGAGGTGGGAAGGGTGTATCACTAAGCACAGACACTTTACATTTTAGTTGATATTGTCAAATCGTTCTCCAAAAATCTCTAACAAGTTATATCCCCACTAAGAATATGTAGTGCTTTACGTTCAACCAGATATTATCAGCCATGTTTAACATTTCTTAATGTAGGTGAAAGTGAAATCTCATTGATTCACTTCCTGTTCTTTGGTCAGTGAGGTTGCTCATCTTTGCAGGAGTTTGTAGAGCATTTGTGTTTCTTCTGTGACGTGCTTGTTGAGCTCCTTTGACCATTTTTTTTACTAGGTTGTTTATCTTTTTCTTGTCAATTCCTAGGAATTCTGTGTTGATTCTAAACATTAACCCCTTGCCGAAACCGGTTTGGCTCAGTGGATAGAGCGTCGGCCTGCGGACTGAAGGGTCCCAGGTTCGATTCCGGTCAAGGGCATGTACCTGGGTTGCGGGCACATCCCCAGTGGGGAGTGTGCAGGAGGCAGCTGATCGATGTTTCTCTCTCATCGATGTTTCTGGCTCTCTGTCTCTCTCCCTTCCTCTCTGTAAAAAATCAATAAAATATATTTTAAAAAATAAAATAAAAAAAAATTAACCCCTTTTTATATGTTATGTATAGTTTTTACAGTTGTTAGTTGACATTTGATTCTATTTTTTAATATGTAATTCACTTATTTGTTCAAATTTCAAAAGAAGTCTTTTTTTTCTTCTCTCTCCTGGCCACCTAGTATTTTTTCCTAGAGGCAAACAGTGTTTTTCACTTCTTGTCTATTCTTTTTTATTTATATACTTTGTGTTGAAAGTATTACATATATCCCCCTTGCTCCCCCTTCTAGGGTGCTCCCGCCCCCCTATTATCTGAGCCCATGGGTTATGCATATATACACACAGTTCTTTGGTTGGTCTCTTCCCACCCCCACCCCTCCCTTCCCTCTGAGCTTTTCTTGCCTCTTCTCCTCGGCATAGTTCACATAGATACAGAGGGAAGTGTTCAGTTAGAAGAGCCAGGCCGTTTTCCCTCTCTGTCCTTTACATCTTCTGCACCCTTTGTTTCCAGCTGCGATACTATGACTCGGGCGAGGACACCAGCTGTAAGGGCCACATTGATCTGGCCGAAGTGGAAATGGTCCTCCCCGCGGGCCCCAGCATGGGGGCCCCGAAGCACACGAGTGACAAGGCTTTCTTTGATGTAAGTTGATCTTGTCTTTCTCGGGCGCCACGTGAGCTCCTTATCTCCACCTCCTCCGAGAATCGTGGAGCCTCGGAGCAGCAGGTGGTGACGGAGCATGGGTCCCAGACCCCGGCCATTGGATCGCTGCAGAACTTGAACTCAGCACTCTGTCCCACCCTGACCTCCCCCGCTATCCGCATGTCTGACCTCCCCCGCTGTCTGCATGTCTGACCTCCCCCGCTATCCACATGTCTGACCTCCCCCGCTATCCACATGTCTGACCTCCCCCCGCTATCCACATGTCTGACCTCCCCCGCTATCCACATGACTGACCTCCCCCCGCTATCCACATGTCTGACCTCCCCCCGCTGTCCGCATGTCTGACCTCCCCCGCTGTCCGCATGTCTCAGAAGCTGCACGTGCTTTTGCACCTAGGGCTCCTTCAAAAGGTGTCCAGTCACACCTGAAAGCAAACGAACTCCCTGCTAAGTGTTGTTATTTCACTCGCCACCTGCTGTCAGGTACAGGTGCTACCTCGTTCATGCCCAGTGTCTTCATGCTTGACCGTCCACAAAAACTGTCCCAGTCACATGGTGACTGCCTACCCGGACATCTTCAGCAGCTGTAGGTGGGCCTTGGGCATTTTATGGGCCACGTGATATGTGACTTATCTAGTCCCCAGAGCCCAGCAGGGCTTCATAAAGGGCAGAGGCCACACTCCGGGGCCTGGCTCAGGCTGTGAGGCTGCAACCCTAACTCTGGGTTTCCAGTGTGGCCCCAATTGGAGACTGGAGACCAGAGAAGGGGGTGGAGTGGACACAAAAGCCACCCTGATCTCTGTGTGGGTGAGTCTCGGCTTCCCCGAGGAGCACAGGGTGCTACTCAGCACCTCATGCGCTGCTCCAGGGCCTGGGACACGCCAGAGGCTCCGCCGTCCAGCCCTCTCCTCAGTCGGGGAGGATATCAAGGTGGTCCTCATGCGTCTCCTTTTCCTGCCAGCACCTTCCGGCAGATGTCAATCTGCCAGGGGATGTCAATGGTGACTCTGGGGACTAGAAGGTAAAGTGAACATACAGGCGCTGACAGTATGGCAGTGCAGGGAGAGAGATGCAGCAGCTCTGGGCAGTGCGGGGACGTGCTGTCACAGGGACGGCCTTGCTTACTTACCCAAAGTCTTAGAACAGCCTGCCCTTCATCTCTCACTCCCCTCATTTGGTTTTAGCTCAAGACCAGCAAACGTGTGTACAACTTCTGTGCCCAGGATGGACAGAGTGCCCAACAGTGGATGGACCGGATCCAGAGCTGCATCTCCGACGCCTGATGCCCACCCAAGTGGGAGAGAGAGGAGAGACTCATGCTTCGAATCAGGAAAGTGCACAAGTCCTCGAGGAGCGGACAGCTTCCTGTTCGGCTCTATGAGGCAGCCTGGGGCCTGAGGCTCTCTGGGCCGGTCTTGCCCAGCCCCCTCCTTCAGCATTGCTGTGTCTACTTGGCCTGAGTGGATGAATCACACAGATCTGGTCAAGAGCCCCAGGACTCCATGCCTTGCACTAGGTTGTTCTAACAGGGTCTTAGTGGTCAGGGTCAGAGATGCTTCCTGAGCCAACTGGCACCCATCCCCAGGCCAATGGTGCACCTGCCTGGGTCCTTTGGTTCCCCAAGGTCATCACTTCCTTGGAGAGCTTTCTGACAAGCAAACATCAAAACCCTCCAGAGCGTTACATTCTGCACAGAATAGGTTTCCCATCGGCGGCTCCTACTCTTAGCACCTGACCTTAGAGATGCTCAGCCATCTGGTGCTGCAGAAGGTCCTTCCAGGACCTCTGCCCTGCCGCCGGGCTCCGCGGCAAGAACATCGGTGCTCAGGGCGGGCAGAGTGAGGGCACACGGAGTGTCCTGATGGACAGATGGTCCAGGGGGTGATGCAGCAATGGCCACGCCAGCGCAGGAAAGTACTGCTTCCAAACACTGGGTTCGCGGGTCGCAGCTGTCCGAGGACCCTGTGCTCCTGCGTGTCTTCTGCTCCCTGACAGCTTCCTTCACAGCAACCTGCAGGAAGCCGGACGCACTCACGGCAGAACAAGCACTTGCACTGACCTCCGGACGAAGCGGGAGGTGGGAGAGACCAGCTGTTCATGACCTCGAACACCTGTACCGAGGGCGTCTCCATGCATCCCACACCCACGATTGGAACCCACACGGCGCTTCAGCACGTGGACCGCAGGCACCGCTTTCAGATTCCCCTTCCTTTTGATAACCTTGTGTTTGTCCAGCTTAGGACCCGAGGAGGCTGTTCTCGGGGACAGAGCAGCTCCTCTGAGGCCCCTGTGGCCAGGGGGCAGGGAGCTAGAGCAGGACATTGTTTTGAACTGTTAATATGTTAAATACCAAACTAATATTTCAAAAATATGTATATATGATTGCTATATCCTTCAGTTAGTCTGCTTATAATTTAATATAAAATTAAATAAGATTTCCTTAATGAAATGGTTCCCTTTTTACAAACTAAAAAACCACTTTGTCTTTATAGGTTAAAAATAAATCAGATTTTCAAATTTAAAATTATCTACACAGTAGGAAATAGAACTGTGACATAAGAAATTGAGGGAATAATATGAAGGATTTTTCTATCATTTTCATTTTATAAATTGCCACCTGTGAAAATGGTTTTTGCACATTCTTTGTATTTTTCTTTGTATATGAAATAAATTTTTGTACTATGTAAAATACGGAGCCCATTGTACCCGTGGCCGTTTGACACTATGCCCAGTGCTTCTTTTGTAACTGGATTCTTTTAACTTTCATAAAGGCGTTCCCTGCCTTACATCCACTAACCACCTGGAATTAAAGTTATTTCTTAAGAAAGAGCATCCCTCGTTTTCTGTGAGATGAAGTCATTCTGCAGCGCCCGGCGCCCGCGGGACAGCACTCAGGACTCACGTGGGACTAGAGGTTCATGGGAAACAGCAGGACCATTTCCAACATCAGGCTGCTACGTCATCACTGCCCTTTGCTGGGCATGGAGCCTCGGGTACAGGACGGCAGGCGTGAGCTTCAGGTTCTAGATGCGAGGCTGCAGTCTAGGTGAGAGGCCTGGCTGCGATGAGCTGGGAGGGATTGGTAAGTACTTTACCGCTTTGGGGTCACAGTTCCACCACCTGTGGCCTGTGGCAATTTGTGAGAATTTTAGGCAGAAGTTTCAGAGCAGACTCGCCTGCTTCAGGGCATGGCCCCCCTCCTAGGACCTCATATGTTCACCGCCTCCCTCCTCTCCCCAGAAGCTGAATGTTCAGACTCTATTAACAAGTTTGGTCTTTCTGGTGACCAGCCCCCATCCTGCCGCTCCAGCCCCACCCCAGTCACTCAATTACGTAAACAGGTGGATAACAAAAGACGTTCCCATCAGGAAATTCTAGGGGTTTTAGGAACTCTATGCCAGGAATCCAGGACAAAGACCAAATTTTTAAAATTATTACACCCCATTTCCAAGTGCTACCAGACTGAACCACGAAGACTTAGAGGAAGTAGCTGCTCAGAGCAGCGCCCGCAGTGGGAGGAAGAGATGGTGCTGGCTCTATTCTAATTCACTGTATGACCCTCACCCAGTCCCTTAGCTGGGCTTTGACCTGCAAAATGAAGGGCCCAAGTAAGCTGTAATTTTGTGATTCCAACTGTTTGCCTTTGCAAAAACTCAGGTTCTAAACTGAGATTTAAAGGATTTGCTGGAAAAGACCAAATCATCTAAACAGCGTTTTCTCAAATTACAATGCGTGTCTGAGTCATCTGCTAAAATGAAGACCCTGATTTGGTAGGTCTAGGGTGGGGCTAGACCAGCCGTGGGCAAACTACGGCCCGCGGGCCGGATCCGGCCCGTTTGAAATGAATAAAACTAAAAAAAAAAAAAAGACCGTACCCTTTTATGTCATGATGTTTACTTTGAATTTATATTAGTTCACACAAACACTCCATCCATGCTTTTGTTCCGGCCCTCCGGTCCAGTTTAAGAACCCATTGTGGCCCTCAAGTCAAAAAGTTTGCCCACCCCTGGGCTAGACATTCTGTGTTTCTGACAAGCTCCCAGGTGATGGCAGCTCCTGGTCCAAGGACCACGTGAAGTCACCGGTGTTGGTCCCAGTCCTCTGAGAAGCAGGGAGGCTAGCCGGAGACCATGGTGCACGTACAATCCTTGGGAAGGAGAAAGGGAGGGAGGCAAGTTGGGCAGAGGAGGCCTAGGCTGCAGTGCGGTTCTGAAGCTCAGCGTGGCCGGTGAGAAGTCCTCAAGGCCCCGGGAATTGTCAGAGGACCCCACACCCCAGCACGGGCCTAGGATCCTGGCCACTCAGTCCTCGGCAGGCCCATGGGTAAGCATGGTCTCGGTGCAAGCTAAGTGACAGGTTTCAGAACACGGCCGCTGGGCCAACATCACAACCCCTGCAGCCGAGACCACCCACCCTTGTGCCACACGGACCTGGTTTTCCACCAGTTCAGAGAGCAGTTCACCCATTCCCCTTGGGCCCCTGTTCCTCAGGGAAACAGAGAAAGGGGAAGGTCATGGGCCTAACTACCCCCTGTCAAGGCAGGTAATCTCACCTCTCCCTCCTCCCTCCATTCTGAATCCTCTCACCCTCCACAACCTGGCAGATGCTGATGGCTTTCCCTGGCAGTGTGTCCCCACCTTCACCCAGTGGGGAGGAAAGGGCCTAAATGCGTGGTAATCAAACCCTTCTTCCGTCGGGGTTGCTGCCCGTGTCCTTGCACAGTTACGGTGGGGGTGGCCTGGGGTGCCCAATGGATCACCTGGGTTCCACACACCTTCCTTCCAGCCCCCGTGGTGTAAACCAGCCCTGCATCTGATCACGGGCAGATAACCCTCCTGGTCCCAGGACGCAGGAAAGCAAAGGGCACCGAGGGAGTCACAAGCTGTCGTTCAACAGGCCCTCGCTGTGTCCCGGATGCTGTGCCGGTGGAATTCCTTGCCTTCGCACCAGGTAAAGTCCTGGGATGTGCTGACTGAGGCTCTGTGGTCAGGAAAGGCCAGCCCATACCCAGAACCAGTCTCATCCCAAGGAGGAGGAACGCCGGCCCTGCCAGGATGGGCGGGTCGCTGTAGCTGACTGGCCCCGAGGCGAGTCGGTGCCATCAGGGGCCCAGCCCTGGCCGCTGTGGCTGACGGGCTGGTTGGACATTGAGGCGGCAGAACCTGGCGTGGCCTTGGTGTGTGGGAGTCTGAGCTGTTGGGCCCATGTTACCCCTTTCATGGCTTCTGCCTCCGTCACAGTGGCTGCTTCACTTGTACACCCCGTGTGCTGGCTCCACTGTAGCAATGACAGGGGCTGCCCAGTGTAACCATTTGTTTGTTTCCTGCCTCCCATGTTGGTGCTTTCCAACCTGCATTAGCACATGGTGCTAGAATCCTCACACTCCTGCTTCTCTGTGTGTCCATCTGCACCCCTCTCCCCACACCTCCTTGGGCCCGTCTCCAGTCCTTTCTGGCCAGGACCCGACCACACGGCCAGGCCATTGGCCACTGAAGGACTGTGCCCACAGCTGCACCTGATGGGAGCACTTTCTCCTTCCCTCCCACCGCCGTCCTGCAGCCGCTGTGCCATGCCGGCCCCCCTACCAGCCAAGCCCCCGCTCCCTCTCCTGGCAGCTGGCTGTGCAGGACCCGATAGGTGGCCAAAGGTGCAAGCAGGGCACAGGCTCTGCCTGCGGACGTCCTCACGCAGCAGCCACCTTCTCGTGCCGTCGGCCTGCGCAGGCTCAGGCCTGGAGGCAGCCTTTCCGTTGGATGATGGACTGAGGCCGGGCCCATCCGACTTCATGAGCCGATGCAGCCAACAGACCCAGCTCACGCGGTTCCAGGCGCTGCGCCTGCTGTGCCGGGGTCCCGTGTTCCCCCAGAACTGTTTCTCAGAAGGCTGCAAGCCTCCGCTGCCCAGGGCCGGGCTTGCTCTGTGATTCTCCCACGGGGACTTGCCACAAGCGCCGTCCCACACCCTTTCCTTGTCCCGAGACTGACACCTCCCACCCAAGAGTCCGCCAGCGTGTGACCCAGCGGCAGGACTGCCTGCCCGGCCGCCCGGACCTTCCGCAGAGCCTCTTCCTGTCAGGGCACCCACCTGCGGCCAGCAGCCTCCGTGTCACCCAGAAAATGTGTCGTTTCTAAGCCCAAAGAGGGGTCCCAGACACTGTTTTCTTCGCTGTGTTGATAGAAGATGCAGCAATTTCCTTCACCTGGAAAGGGACATCCAGGCACACCCCCAACCACTGAACCCTAAAACCTGCCCTGAGGTGGCAGGCCCTTGAATCCTCGTCTCTGACTGCATGTGCCTTCGCTGTGGCCTCCAGCACAGAGGCCCCCTTGTTCCTCCGGTGTAATCAGCATTGCCACTGACGTCACGGGTCCAGGTCGTGTTCTGTGGGATCCAAACAGTCCCCATCTCCGGGGATTATATTCTGACAGAGCGAGACAGTTGCCATAGCCCTGTTATGCAAAACTGTAAATGAATACCGCTGTCTCTCCCACGTGGGTGTGAGCTGTTTCCGACCTTCTTTTCTAATTGGAATGGAAAAGAACACGTTCGCCAAAGACTGCAAATGCGCACATACCGAAGGCCTGACGAGCTGCGCTGGCAGTGGCTCTGCGCCGGCACCGCGGCCGCGGCCGGAGCGGGGCTGCGGCTTGGTGAAGCCCAGGCCGCCACAGGCCTCCTCCAGGCTCTGCCCGCTGTCTGCAGAGGTCAGGCCGGTGGTTAAATGCAGGAACAGGACCACCACTCCTTCACCGGTTAAGTTGTTCCTGCCACTTCCCCCAGGGATGAGATGTTCCTTTTCATGGCTGTCCTAGGCAGGGTGAGGCCGTTTCAGAAGTTTCTGCTTGGCCTTCTCTGCTCCTACCTAGTAGGCCAGGCACCCAAGGTGGGGGCTGCTCCAGCAGCCAGCGCACATGAATGAATTCTAACTAAACACCCGGGTACAGCCAGGACTCCTCTTACCACCGGCCCCGCAGGCCCCGCTCTGAAAAGGGCCTGATAGGTACATGCTGCACACCTGGCCGCCTCCTCGGTGGGTTCCATCTCTGAAAACTGGCTCTGGTCTGGGAAGTGAGCAGGGCCCAGGGGTTCCTGTTGGCCCTGCCTCCTGCCCCTCCGTCCTGTCTGCTTTCGGGAGCTGGGAAGCAGAGCTGTGTCTGCCGCCCGTCTGGTCTGCCCACAGGGACACCTTGCTCTAGTCGCCCCTCCCCAGCTTTCTGTGCGCCCGAGCCCCTGGCCTGCCCTCTGGCCTCGCCCGTCACACTGGCCTGATGCAGCACATCTATCTCGCATGCCCGCTCTCCCTGGCCCTTAATTTCCTCCTCTCCTCCCCCAGGAGGACTGGGGCATTAACACTTGGCTGAATGTTGGCCACTGCTTTCCAGACTAAGAGCCCCCAGCAGAGGCTCCTGCCCCCTGCCCTCCCGTCCCAGCTGAGGTTTTAAATCTTGCGTCTCACAGAAGTGCCCTCGAGTCTGTGGATTCTTGCTTATCCAACCTTCCGCTCCAGCCCCTTCCTCAGGCACCGTCAAAACCCAACCCGGTGCGCCTGGCCCCTGCCAGCCCCCCGCGCAGGCCCTGTTCCTCCCAGTGCTTCTCTGACCTCCCTGAGGCCCAGCACGGCCCCAGCCAGATTATTCTGGAATTTCAACCCTAACTGTTGTCCTTGGGCAACTCCTGAGGGCGCACCTATTGCCCTGCAGAGGTGAGGCCGCTGTGGCCCCTCAGGGCAGCAGAGGAGGGGGGCAGGGAGGCTGCAGCCCCCACATCCTCGGGGGCATCCATCCACATGCCTCCATCTCACGTTTCAGGGCTCCTGGTCTTCGCCAGCAGGG